TATCTCATTTTAAATATAAAAAATCTAAAATATAATTACGATAATTATTGAGTTTTAACAAAATGCTTAATCATTATCTTTATAAAAAATTGTATTATTAAACCAAAAATAAAAAAATAATATAAAGAAATACATAAAAAAGAAGAAATTTTAAATAGTTAGTTTCGTACTAATATAAAAAAAATTCATTTTTATGATATTTTCGTATTTATATTTTTTCCGGAACTTAAAAACATTATCATTTTTCTCAAAACCACATAAAACCGTATTATAATATCGACCGAGTCAAAAAAAATAAAAATAAAATAAAAACATTAAAATCGAAATGTATCTCGCTGTATTGTGCGAATGCCCTTCTAATTTTATACTAAATAACAATTTATTAATCATATTTTTTAAATTGTTACAATTAATATCCATTATTACATGTGTTCATTTTACGATAAGCACGTTATATGACGTGCTTATTGTACTTGGCAAGCCAATAAAATCTTCAGTAAGCACGTTATATGACTAATTTTATCAGGCCATCTTGGATACTGAAGATTTTATTGGAATCGTCGTGAATCAGAATACTGACGCCTAAGATTTGTTGGATAGAGAGAAACGATGACGAATGTCAAGGTTAAGAAAGAGACTGAGATAGTGAAGTTGAACCAAGATGGGGAAGGGTTTGGACTAGATTAGATGATATGCATGAAGGTGAGGATGGTTTACTTTCGGAATTTCTGGTGGTTTTACTTGGAGACGAAAGTGATGAGTCTGGTTGTTGGTCCCAAACGGGTCTACAAGAATACTAAACAGTTTGTAGAAGGGGAGGGGGATGAATACAAACACAATTTTCAAATTTAAAATATATATTGATAAATAAGATCAATACAGATTTTACAAGATTGTTTGCGGAAAGATAAGTTGTAAGAAACCTATCTAAACAATCTTAAGATACACACAAAGAATAGCAAATATAAGAAAAGATATTGCTGGGAGATTCTTTTACTTAAGCTGAAAGAA